AAATTTTTCAAAAATCTGGACAAATATAATTTATGAATAATTAAAGAGTAATTAAGTAAATGATTAATTTATTGTACATTTTTTTTTTTTTTTAGGTCATTAAGTTTAATGAAAAAGCAATTTTAATAAATTGAGGGAATGACTTGGTGAGTAACCTAATAAGATATTAATCAATTCCAGTCATTATTTAGATTATTGAAAATAACTCATAAATTATTATAAGTATTATTGTTTGTTTTATGAAGCATTGGAATAAATTATCCTGCTAATTTGGTCATTTGATAAATAATTCAGGGGGTTTTTTGTTTTTATTAACACCAGGTGTTTGTAGAAAATATTTTCTACCTCAAAGTATTTCTGATGTAACTAATTTTTTATAATAAGATTATTTATTATTATTAACTCAATAAAAGTAATGTTAAAGAAAAATTTATATTCTATTATTCTTTATTCCAAGTCACAGTTGTTAAAAAGTGATTACTAACATTACTGACATATTTTTCATTTAATCAGTTTATGTGCTGTCATTTTTATTTAACTATCATTAAAAGTATATTTATTGAAAAAGCCTTCTCATGTAAAGAAACTTAACAAGTAGAAATTATTGTTCAAATACATTTCATCTACTTGATCATAGAAAATAATATTCAATATTAATTTTTAATTTTCTAAAAAAAAAAAAAAAGATAGTAAAAACAAACCTGTCATTTACGAATAATTAAACTATCAATGCTTGTTTTTTTTACCTCTTAATTTCTTTTGTTCATTATTCATTTTATTTCTTTTAAATAATAAAATTTTTTTTCAATTAATTACTTTTAATAAACTCAATGTTATTATTTTTTGCTATTCTCTTTCAACAACAATCTTTATTCAAAAGACATTTAAAATGATAATTCTGTAATTTTTTAGACACAATACATGGCTGTTGCTCATGAACTCACTTTCTTTCAAAAGATACAATTGTAAATCACACTCTATATGTGTAGAATGCATGTCCTGTTATAATGACATTAATTCTTTAAAGATTTTAATTATGACTATTATTATAAATGATATATATATGTAGGTAATGTTTATTCTATAAAAAGCATAAAGCAACGATTTTTCGACAATACTTTGGTATACAAAACTATCAACCATCACTATCACACTTTATGAATCCAACTGAATGTGAGTAGTAGCGTAACGTGACTCTGTGTACCCAACAGAGGATGTTTGAAGTATTCTAATAGCACGCAATGTCAGTAAAACACGTTTCCCGGTATTGTTAAATACATTGTAAGCATATCCTCTTAGTGAAAATATCAACATTTTTGAAACATGACGATTGTTCAATCAATTGATTTACCCTACAAGCCATACAATCACTCCAACTATTCTCAAACACAGTCTTCATTTTAATTACCATCTAAACAATAACTTGGAATTGAAGATAATAGATTCTAAGAGATTTATTATCGGTTGTGAATTGATGCTAAATCTAAAAATGTCTCAAGATCAACCTTGAAGAATTATCGTTCACGATATTCTGAAAGTATGAATACTGTATTTCACTGGTTTTATCTAATCACATTATCAATCAACACTGGGATTAATTCTAGATAAAACAAAGGAAACGAAAGGAAAAATAGTTAAGATTCTGGAGCAATCAGTTACAAGGAAATATACTTCCCTGACCTGTATTTGCTCACTGAAGCACATCAAAAGAAGAAACTCTTCTGCTAATTTCTAATATAGCTCCAATAGTATTATTTCTATCTCCACTGATGGATCTCTAGAGTCTAGAGTATATCTTGTCTACTATTGTCTTAACATCAATCGTCATGTTCTGATTCCTTGCAAAATAATATCAGTAATTTTGGTTGTTCAGTGAATTATTTTAAAATACCTAAATCACTCTTACATCCTTAAATCTTTCAATGACTTTGATGATCTCCAGGTAATAAAACTGATACTTTAGTTGGTTGGTAAAGTTAAACACAGCACGTAATATTACTCTAGTGAATGGTAGAAAAAAAAACTGACAATGGGTCCGGTCTGCAAGAGAAGCACGACAACGACTGTCGTGTTGTGCAGTCACTTTTCACAGGCAAACAGTTCTTAACTAAGTGAAGAGGGGGACTTTGTGGTAGAGTAGAAAGGGGCTGATCGCGAGGGTCGATCCTCTAGCGAGCACACGCGAGAACGTTAACGGTCTTTTACTAGTTTCTGCTTGCCAGCTGTTTTGTAGTACCCACTCTATTTCTCTTCTTTAACTCCACAAGACTTTGCTGTCTTCACAACGCCTCCAACATTCTCTCCTTCACCACGTGCCACACTTTTCCCTACCCTTCACTGTGTATACGAGGTATGCTATAAAGATCTTTCGCAAACTCGAGGACTTGCAATCCTCGACTACTAGACCTTTTATCTTGTCTAGCTTGTACGCAACACCAAGACCATTCTCTAAGCAATATTCTGGTGTATATGAAAGCCGTGAGAAGACTAACATGAACCGTTGTAATTGCTATAAACCTTGAGTACACTTACTCTGGCTGGGATAAGAAAATGTCCCGGTCTAAGGCCCACTTCAGATTCACTTGGTGGTTTATAACGTGTAACTGACCTAATGGCTTCTCTTTATTTCTTTGGTGTTGATAATTGAAAAGAAGGTTTTCATTAGGCTCTAGACTTATTGGATTATACCGAGGTTATCCAATCATCTGTTAGATAATGGTTAGATATTTTTTTTTGTTCCAGGTTATTGGATGAAGCAGTGGTTTCATTCAATATATCAGTGAAACTTTAAATAAAATATGCAAAATGTTGTTTAATTATTGATTAATTAGTTATTCAATTGGACTTTAAATCAGTTATATATTTTTAAGTTTTATTTTAATTAATGATAGAATATTAAATAATAATTAGTTATCTCGAAAAGGTAGCTGTTCACATGTTGGAGCATCAACTTTTTTGGAAATTTTAGAATCAAAATTATTCAGGTTTTGTATTTTATATTTAATCAGTGTTTTTATTTAGTTACCATGTCACTACTGTACTGGTACATTTACCTTAATACGTGTTTTACATAAGATTAGCATAATTTATTAAAACTATCCAAATTATAATGAGATGACTTTCTACCAACCTAATTAAATATTTCACTTTTTGAACTACTTTGGCTAAAACCCATTTTCAGTAAAAAAAAAAAATTACCAAAAACCTAGATAATTTGATAAATAATATATAATATTAATTAATTTAATATAATTATTAAGTGTTATTATTGAGAAATATTTAAAAACTAATTTAAAGAGCGTACTTTAAAATAAAAAATATTAACTGTCGAGAAAACAGTAGTCTTTTAGAGCATCATAAAGTATACAATTTAATTTATATATATTTTTTTTAACAACAGCTCTTTATTTACCATTTGAGTCTTACCAGTTAACGTATGTTTCTACTGAGTTAATGAATGCAGTTGATAAAGTAGTTGCTGACAGGTTTGGTCAGACAGGAATTTTTCTCTGATGGAAACGGTGAGTTATAAATGAATAAGATGATAAAAAGCAACGTATGATGGCGCTAGAAGGTGATGAAGGTAGAATGTTTTTATTTGAGAAAAGCGTGCTACAAAGATCGTGTTACTGCCACAGAGGCATCAGGCCGAATAACGGTAATTTCATTTTAACATTGCTTCATGATATTCATTACTTGATCATCTCTTATCTGAAAGTCACTTTTCCCTACAACTAATTTGTCATTAATTCTATTTAACAAATTCCAGATTTTTCCATTCATATTTTCATCTGATGAACTTGATCTTCACAAATTGCACTTGTACTGTCAATTAGTTAATAAAATAATCACTAATTACTTGTTGACTACTTTTGCTAAATCAACCTAACGGAATATTATCGTTAGAACAAAGAATGTCCGGAAGTAATAACAACAAAGAGACATAAAGCAACGACGACGATGACGAATGTTAAGGTGAGTGAACCAGAATGGCTATCAACTGATTCCGTAAAAGGGACCGTCGTTAGAACAACGTTGACCCGATTCAACAGATAATTTATTGCATCTTACGGATCCTCATCAGGGAAGAATTGAGGAAAAAAAAGTCGAGAAACGGTTGTTGCCATTTTGACAATTTGTTCGATGACTCATGCTAAACCGGTTTCTAAACTCTAGATGATGAAAAAATTCACTTGGATTTTACTCTCGATTTTTTATTTATGTTGATTCATCTTCTATTTCTTAAGTTGCTGATTAGAATATTTCATTCATTTAATAGATCCATATTTAATTGACATTCACTTTATACCACTGGAATTTATTCATGGCTTACTTAATATCATAGTTATTGGAATGATTATCTTCATAAATGAAGTGCTTTCTTATTTTAATATGAAACTCTATCTCATAAAGTCTTTTTATATTTTTTTCCTCCCAAGTATCTTCAATTTTCCATTCACCAATTAGCGACAGAAGAAATACTGTACTTATAACAGTATTATTTTCAATGATTTCTTTCTTTATTCATTTTATTTTATAAAAAAGAATTAATTATAAACTTCTTTGTTTTTAGTTTTTAGTATTGTCGAAACAATCTAGCATAATCATAAGATTTAATTATGCTAAGTATTAAATAAATGTTTATATTTAAAATCAAGTATAATTAAAAATTCCAATTTTTGGAGTAATTATAATTCATCCATTTGGTTTTGGAGTAGTTGATGATATTAATTAATTATTAATTTATTTGATAAAGTAAATAATAAAATTCCGATATTTTTATTTAGAAATGCCTTTTTAAAAAGAAGTTTATCGAAACTATTTTTAAATTTAAATACCTCAAAAACAACTTTAAGAATTTTTTCCTCTTATTCATAACATTCATATCAGTGAAAAGAATTTTCTAATCACTTCGGTTGGCAATAAGCTTACGCAAATAAAATTTTAAACTCTGATGTATTAAAAAATAATAATAATAAATAATTAAAAATAAAACTCACCCTAAATTTTTCTCCTTCGTCGATTTTTTCTCGTCTCTCCAATCGTGTAAACCGATTCTGAAATAACAACAATACAATGTCACTGATTGTATTTAACAGAACTCGTATAATATAATAAACACAAAAGAGAACTAATGAATAACGAGAATGTTTACCCCCATTGATTTCGTTGATTAATGAACTCTCAACAGAGAGAGAGAGAGAGTCAATAAAATAGTCAAATTATTCACGTAATTTACTGGGTCAGTTGTATTTCAATTCTCAATTTTCGAAGGAACATGATTTCAATACCCATGGTAAACACTACAACTTAATTTCCAGCATCATCAATGAATACAGGCTTCATCAATATTTATCAATTAAACAGAAACCTTGGCAAGATGATCCATTTAGAAATTCAATCAATAGGTAAATTACGAAAAGAGAATTCACAAGATGATTGAATAAATACTTAAATTGTATATATGGCTATGCAGCAAGTAAATGCACTTTAATGCACTCCGAACAGACTAACACGCAATTGCATGACTGAACAAGCTCATTCGTGTGGATAGACGTGATATGTCTCATAAAATGTACTTTTCACATTATCTCACCTCAGTGGTATCCTGCTGATAGTGCTCTCTAGAAGCCTGAAACGCAAAAAAAAAAATATGTTATGACATCATTGAAAAAGAGCAATTTAAGTAAAAGAGAAAGAAAGAAGGAAACTAAAGATATGAATGCAGAAAAGAATAAGTGTTCTTGGTAACTCGTCAACCGCATCATAAAAAGACCAGAAAGAAAGGAATGGTGAAATTTATGTATCCTACAAGTGCACCACCAACCAAAGTCCCACATGAGCAACTAACTTATAAGACATATTTTGCTTCGTCAAGATGATATAGATTTCAAGCTGATTGTTTGTATACTCACGTGTGAACTATAAGTGGATCCTGCTGATGCCAGCTGATTTCGATTCTCTATGGCAGTCTTTATTTGCTCCAACACCTGAGTAATCATCATTTATTTTATTTTTCATTCAAGTTTTATTCTAATTTTCATTAATCTAATCTAGTTGGTATTTCATTTTTAATCAACTTTATCAGTATTTTTTTCCAAACTATTTTAACCATGAATTCTTGGTAATAATATTTTTTTTATATTATAATAATTATAGCAAATTATTCAAATATCAAGCTAAATTAGTTTATTTTAAATATTTATTATGTATAAGAAATTTCATTGGGAAATATTTCTTACTATTTTCAAATATCAGACTTGATTGAGAAATATCCAATCTAATTAAGTGATATAAAAATTCACAAAGTAAAATGTTAGCCTAGAAATTTAACACCAATCCAGGTAGCTAGGTTAGATGATAATTTTAGACCAACAAAAGCAACTTCAATGAGTATACTTTTAAAATACTTTATTAATCTTATTTAAATTCACTAATAATTAATGCTTCACTATAATAATTATTCACACCATCAATATTGATAAGCTAAAATTATTATTTTTTTTTTTCAATATAAATATGACAATTGAAAGAAATAATCTCTTCCAAATATTAGAAGTGAGATTCATTTTTTTCTCCACTTTTTTATTTTATTTATGATCTGAATCACAATAAAACGTATCACTATTATTCATTCATTTGTTCTGATATAAAATTAGATTAGATATTAATTTAAAATAATCATAAAATGAAAAGGAAATATATACTTTGTTTACTGATAACTTATTGTTATTATGTTCATGATTGAAAATATCTATATCATAGTTCTTACAAGTATACTTACTCGATTAGACATTCGATGATTGTAGGGGCCTTGAGGATTACAATTTTTATGAACAGCTTCATCACTGGTCTTGCTTTGTCGTCTCTATGAAAAGTTGAAAAATAATTCCCATAAATAAACAATATAATTCCATCACTGAAAACTAAAAAGAATATTTATATATATCTCTAGAAGGTTAATAAGATAACAATAAGTAGAAAAGGAACTAAATTTTAATGATGAAACGCTCCAAGACTTTCCTAAGCCTATCAGGTTGGAACGCAAACGTTTGCAATAAAATGTGGCGAAAGATGAGCACTAACAGACGTGGATTTATTTCAGATAATCTAGTGTCTGTATTTTTCATTATTTCCAAATGATTTAATGTTCACAAAATTACTCAGACTTGTGTTATGTTTTTTTTTGTTTCTATTTAATAAAATATTGCTTGGAAAAATTATTGATAACTTTTTTATTCTATATATAGATGGATGAATGAAAGAGCACATATATCCTTCATATTCAATCATGCTTTAAATAGTTTATGAATAACAGTAGTTGGTGAAAATTTATTGACAAAATAATCAATAATCCCATTGAAACATTTGAGAATGAATCTGGATGTCTCGTCGAGTTAGTACACGAAGCTTACGATGCTTCTATTTCCAACGTTGACCTTATTGGCTACCAGAAATAGTGTACCATAAAACAGCAGTATGTTCATGAGGAATTCCAAGTGTAAATCATTGATTAAATGAAACTTGGAATTATATTGAAGTGATATTTATAGACCTTTTTTCTTAAGTTCTTAAGAAGTGTGTAGAAGTGTTGGAGATAAAGTAAAATATAAGAGATTAAAATGGTAAAATAAAAAAGTATAAGTGGAAAAGAAGAAAAAAAAATGACGTACTTGGAGAGTTGCCAAGGTATCCAGGGATGAGAGTGGGCGAGTGTGAGGTACTTCTCCGGGGAAAACACTGTCGTGAGACACCGAGAGTTGACCTGATGTACCTCGTAGTTTTCCAAACGGCTCTTCACCTCTACTTCGCCTCAGGAACACACTAGAAAGCCAAGTTTGTTCGTTAATAAAACAATAGGATACACTTAATATGATAAACAAAAATATGAGAGGATCAAGAAGGCATGTATAAGCACCAAAGACGTCACTTTCTGCTGAATATAGTACCATTAGACTACTTTGCTATTCCAAGCATCAATTTTACAATGACAATAAATTTCTCCAACATGGTTTTATGCGATATATTACATGGGTCTGCATAAGAAGTTTTGTTTTAATCATTTTGTTTTACTTTTTTTGTATTATGTAAGACCACTCACTATATACATCTATGAATAATGCTTTTTATCATCAAGGTGAACAGTTCAGCCCTACAATGCATTTTTTTTAGTCTAAAAAAAAATAAATATGATTCTACTTAAGATTTAGACTGTTTTTAATAATATTAGTCTATATTATACAAGTCTAAAAAAGTTTTTAATATTCTTGGTTGTACCATATATGTCACTACATACATTGTAGGGCTAAGCTTTTGATGAAAGAGAATATCAGTCATTTTGCATATGATTAGAAATATTTTGAAAAAAGTATCAATGCAATAAATGATTTTAAAAGTATGATACATTCAGTATGAGTTGAAATTTAGCATGATAAAATTCTAGAGTATCAATTTAAGAATGATTAAAGAATCATTAAATATTGATAAGAATGATAAAAAATTTTGTAGTTCACCTGATGATGACATTAATTGATGTTAAAACTTTATAAAAAGATTTGAGAATTAATAAAAAATGTGATTATGGATTAAAAAAAAAAAAGCTTGAACATCTTTATAAAAATTAATTGTCACCAATTTTAGAATACAATGAAAATAATTTAAAAATTTAAACCAGAAATATTGAAAAAAAAGTAAACAATTTTTTAAAACACACAAATCTTGCAGACCTTGAATAATTTATTATAAATTCATTTGTTATATTACGAATAGAGTAAACATGGGATTATGTTAATACTATGTAGGAAAAGAAAACTTATCTTTTATCAGTTCTTCTTGGAAAAACTTGTCATTTGAAAGGATTACATTTATAGATAGATAGATATAAATAAATAAAATACATTTAATTTAATAAATAAAATAATATTTATAAATAATAAAAATATGTAAATATATTATTAATATTATCAGCTTTCAAAGTTTTTATCTGTTCAGGTATATTTGTTGATAACTTTGAAAAGAATAAAAAATATTGTCCAATGAAAAATTTATTTTAGAAAAACTATAAAACTATGTAAGTCATGTGTAATATCTATTTGATAGCATATACAGCTTTTGAAGCAATGCCAAAAATTTTGTTATTTTTCCGGTTGAACTAAAAAAGTCTTTCGATAGGCGTTACAGTCAATATGTGGTCTACATCATGCTCTAAATTGAAAACATTGTTTCTGACAAGAAAAAAAATTATTACGAAGCAATATTAATTTCTATCAATTGTTTATTACTATATTATCAAGATATTTAATATTAGCAATAATAATTTTAGTATTAAAAATTTATATTAGAGAGTTAAAAAATTTTTTTCAACTTCATTATTCTTAATTTACTACAAACAAATGCATATTGAACTATTAGTTATCAATATTTACTTTACATAACAAATTTTCTACCAAACTTAATACAAATTATTCTCTACATTTTATTTATAAATAATAAAAATTGATTAATAATAATACAATTGATTTTAAAAAAAAATTACAACTTATTTAAATACCATTATAACATCCCATATTTACTCTATTAAACAAATAATAGTATTAATTATTAAAATAAACAAATAGAAGCTTGATATTATTCATGTTGCTGATTGATAAAAAAATATTTACTGATTAAAAGATTTCCTCATGGATATTCTGTATTTTTTAGGCCAGCCAATGACACGTTTGCTGAAATAATAACAGATAATTGGAAAAATAGATCGACTATTTTGATTTATCCTCCTTGAAAAGAAAAAAATAGTAAAGAAAAATAAAAATAAATACTACTTGGTGATGCAAATACTATTTACCTCTGACGGTCACAGGAGTCTGTTAGTAATTCACTAGCACTTTGGCTTCTAGCATCGTCTGGACGTCCAGCAGGATGTCTTAGTGTCATCTCTTCTCTGTCATGAATCACAAGTTCACTGGTTCGATCACTGCCACGAGAGTCGACCTTTGCGTCTGCTGCACTTCTACTTTTTCTCCGGAAAATTCTCCGAAGACCTCGCAGAGGATGAAATCGCCTCTTCTTTAATTCTGGAATAAAAACATAAATGAAAAATTGATTAGATGGTTTTACTTCTCTTTTAGAGGTTTATCTTATAAATAATACTACTGTACCAAGTTGTATGAACCCATAAAAAATGATCAATAAATAATAGATCTTTAAGTATTTAAAATTATTAAATTATTATTTATAAAAGATCAAAAAGTATTGCATATTTTTATTTTCAGCCTCAAAGTTCAAGTACACATTAGTTTTTAAATAATGCAAGAGAAATATCATTAAGGGTTAAAAAAGGATTCAAACTGAAAGAAAAAATCTCAAGCATTAAAACAGACTTCGACAAGTATTTATATATTAATATGAGTTAATTATTTTATTTTAAAAACCCTCTATGATTTATTTCAAACTAAAATTTGAATTTAAATTTAAAAATGATCTAAAATTGGTAATAAAACTCAAATAAAATTGATGTTTTTCTTATTCGAATAAAAGAATTGATATTTACATTTATAGAAGAATTGATGTTTGAAGATTGTGTAAAAAACGATATTACAAATTGTATTTTATATTTGAACAAGTCAAAGTTACTTAAAAATGTACCGGTAAAAAGGTTCCAGGGTAGAGTCAATAAAATCGTTCTTGAAATATCTTCAATAAAATGACGTTTACACAAAGAAATTCGTAGTAAAACGACTCTTTGGGGTACAATAGTAGACTATTCTTAAAAATACAATGATTTTTGTATATTTGAAAAGTTATATTTACATTTATTTGTAAGTATTATATTGCTAAATCTAATTGAAGCAATTTTAGATGATATATTTTTCAATAATCTGCTATAAGTTATTGATACTTTTCAAAATTTTCAATAAAAACTCTTATTGAAAATAATATGACTGAATAACAAAATATTTAATTAAATAATTAAAGAAAGAAATTAATTAAAATTCTTATTCTATACATGACTGCTTCTGTTCATGATCAAACTCAAACTAATCACTTATTTAATACTACAAAATAACTATCATCACTGTAGATGAAGAGTTATTGTCTTCTATTAATGTTCTATGTTTGTCATACTCTATAATCATCTATTCTTCCATTCATTCGCATTCGTTACAATTATTTTATGATAAACAATGAGTTTAATTGCTTGCAGTCAACTGATGATTCACTTCTACGATACATAAAGAAACGTAGTTCAAGATGGAATGCTCTAAGAAATGAGATATTTATAATATGTGGTGTAGTTGATATCAATATGATGAAATATTGGATTAATAGCCAACATTGGAATGATCAAAACAAGTAGTAAAGTTAGAGGAACAAACCATCCAAAGGGTAAAAAGTGACTCCAAACTCCTAAACAAATATTGTTCATCACCAACACTATCTCTATATGTCACTGATTGTCATGAACTGGTTTAAAAAAGGTATGTAACATCTGTGAATAAGTGAGTTGATCACATGGAATAATTTAACTACAGGCAAACTATTCAGAATTATTTTCAGTTGAGAAGACAGGTGTAGCTAAAAGGAAAGAGACTATTATCTAGATGCTTATGTCTAAATGAGTCACGTAATGCAGGAAGACATCAAGAGATTGAGAAGTCTTCTCAAAAATATGAGCTTCAACAGAGAAGATTAATTGTTCCACTTTGATGCTTTTGTCTAGAATGAAAAAAATTTTAAATATATTGATAGATTACTCTGAAATTGGTATATATGAAATGTATTGATTTATCTGTATTGTATTGGATGTACCTAAATGGTATAAGCAGTTTCAAAAGACCTTACCTGAGGTTTTCAATGGAATAAAAATAAAAAAGAAAACTTGATAGAATCCAATAGAATATTCTACTCAATTCTGATTCAATTTTCCTGCTATTATTATTGATATATTGGAATTAAAATGACCATAAAAATTAGTCATTTTAATTCAATTGGCATGAATGTTAAGTATTTCTTGAAATTAATGTTGAACTTTGAAGTAAACAATTTCTTTAGCTATTGGATTAAATCATAGCTGCAAGTCATTTATCATAATCTGCTGAATAAACATTAATAAATTTCGAAAAGATTGTAAAAAACATAGATGTATAAAGTGGAAGTGATTTCACCATCTTTGCTAGATGTCCTAGAAAATATATATCTATACAACAGTTGAAAGTGTTCAAGTACCTTTATCAATTCTATTAGCTAGCTCATCTTTTCAACATGATGTTATCAAGACGATAAAGGTACATAATGAAAGAGATAAGAAGCAATTTCATAGTATATATATAATCAATTAAAGCCAATCAAAATGTGAATGTATCGATTACAAATGACATCATGGACATTGTCACAGTACATAGCGAGTTCATAGCAGTGATGACAATGACAATTACGACTTGGATATATGTATGTATAGGATACATTCATACATGTTGTATAACATGAATAACAGATATCGAACTGATTTGATTAACTACCACGTGACTAACCGTCCAATCTCCATTATGCGGACACACCTGTCAATATGACATTCAGAACTTCGAAATCTAGACATTTATTCCCTATAGATTCCACGAGTTCTATTTATTTATTTATTTTAGTACCTTTTTCAGTTGATCAACTGGAATTTTATCAACTAATGAAAGTAATTTCTGTGATGAAAAGAATTAAGTTATCAATGTTCATACTTTCTATAAGATTGTCTATGCCAACATCTACTTCAAGATTTAATTATTGAAATATAAATGAGAATTTAAGTACAGATATTAGTTGTACAACTTTTCTTATGTCTGATATAACATAATTATCATCATTTTTTGGTTCGAAACTTTCGCTATAAGCCAACACATCAACGTAATAATCAATTTCATGCAGACCAGGTGGATGTGAATTAGAGATGATTGTATGTTTGAATGAAATGAGTTGAAAGCTATCAGCTCAGGAGCAAAATATGTAATTTAAGAACAAAAGTTCATTGAAAAACTGATATGCTAATTTATAAATAAATTTTTATCAATCAAAGTTTTGCTAAAAAATTTACTTTATCACGAGTATTATAATAACTTTTTAAAAAAATATTTGATTGGTTAAATGAACATGAAAATCCATCTTCTGAGAAAATTTTAATGTATGTTAATGCAAATGTCAATGATATTGATATGTATTAATTGAAAGTTTCAAACAGTGGCAATATTTAAAGTGAACATTGGACCTATCAAAGTTTTAATATGATTGATGATTTTTTAGTTTAAGCTACAAAAGCAAAAGTACACCGAAAACACTGTCAAGGGAAATAATAATTAGTTGGAGTTAATTGAAGAAAGTTAGTGTTTCAAGTTGTACAGCTCTCTTGAGAATCAGATGGAGTGGAACAAACATCTTTTTTGACATTACAATAAATAAATAGTTAATATGAATAATATGTTTGAATTAAAACTTATTCAAACAAATAATAAATCACCACTACAATATCTACATATATATTATTGTCTAATTCATTTATATGCTTGGTACGCCAAGATGACTAGAATTATTTTGTAAACCAATTATATTTGGTTTCTTTATATCATTAAGAGTTTGAGTTTTATATAATCTGATAGTAGGATAAAAAAGCTTCCTTTATTGAATTTAATAGGATAACTCAAGTTGTATAATCTTAGAGCTCATCTTGATGGAGTTGGAGATGCAAGGAAAATTTGTTCACCGGTCCAATCAAGGTTCCACTAGTCTGAAGAAAGCAACTTCATCTCGATTAGTTTCCTTTCAATTACTTGACTATTTGTAGTCCAATCCATTCTTCTATCAAAAACGCTGCAAAATTTAATTACTCACTCTGGTTCTAGAAGTGGTTTTATTATCATATTCTATAAGAGATAGTCATGTGTTCCATGTGTTCAAATGTTTAAAAATGTATTTGTTCAATAAGCAATTGTCTTTCTTTGTATGAGAAGAAAATAATATTACTGTATATATAGAGTATCACTAGTTCAGTTATTAATTTCAGTTCGAAATGAATAAAGTTCTAAAAGTGATACATATTGTCATCAAAAACAGGTAGCAAGTTGATGAATAATTTATTTAAATATCCTTTTTACTTTATTGTTTCACCTTTGAGCATTTACTCTTGAAAACTTATTGGTTTTTATTGATCTGGTGGTTTTTTAATTGTAAAGTCGAGAGCCTAAAGCTGAATATCCTGAACAAAAGGATATCTAAGCACACTAAATTGCAGGTATGAATAGGAGAAAAATATGCGAAGGAAAAAAGCCAAGGGAAAAATGAAGAGATGGATGAGAGATTAATACAGCAAAGGGGTAGAGAAATATATATATTCGTAGAAGAGAGTATTTACCCTGAGGCTTACTGGAATTTAAACGAAGAGAACTTGCAGTCGACGCCCGGAAATGAGGGAGATGAACGAAAAGAAACAAAGAGAGTGAAGAAAAAAAAGAATTGAATTCTAATGTGAATCTCTAGCTACTGTATTGTTGGAAAGATTTCAAGAGACTTTAGCGAGAGTTCCTGTTGTATTTTTGTCACTTTACTATTATATTTCTTGAGTGATGGAGATGTAGGGCTGCAGTTGGTAACAATTGGTAGACTTTTTATATAGTCCTTGCAATTCCCTTTTATGGAAAAATGAAGGATAATCATTCGAAGCTTTCTATTGGAAAAATTGCAAGTGGAACAGATGATGAGTTGGAATGAAAAAGAAAAAAGTTAATAAATTTTTATCAGATTATTCTTTTATCAATTTAATAGAAACGTAACCTGATTTGATGATCAAAGTATGAGAGGATAATCAACATTAATTTCGTTGCTAAGTAAGTAGCATGAGATCTAGGATGGATGAATTGATCATCAAGTTTGATCAGATTGATTGCATACTTTATTATGCATGCTCAGTCTCTGTTGATTTTTAATTTGATATTTATAACAAAGTGATTGGATGGAAGACAAAAATTCTATTTCATCTAGAATATTTATATCATTCCCTATTGATGAACATCAACAATGAAGCTTTCGATTAATGATAAAGAAGCAAAGCAGCAAAGAAAAGTTGATCACGATTGTTTGATGATTATGACCAGTTGTCATCCCTTCAATAATTCAGTTTTATAAACTGGGTCATGATAGCTACTTTGAACACTTCAAGTAAGTAATTGGAGCACCCTGTACCTTTCCAGAGAATAATAAAAAGTTACTTGATGATTTTTCTATTATCAAAACCCTAGGGTTAGCTGACAAATAATCATTAAAATTTTGAAGTTCTCTATTCTAATATAAAACTCAAACAAAAATCAGATGAACTAGTTTCAATGTGCTAATTTCCATCTAGTGTAGACAGATCAAATCCAGTAAGATTTCGAGAAAAATTACGATAACTATTTGCTCTAGGTAATGGTGTAATTTTCACTGAAAGAATCCTTTCATTCAAAAGGAATTATTTTTAGAAAATTCTATTTTAAATGAAAAGCTAAATTTCTGATGGTATTGTACGATAATCAGATTTAGAGCTTCTTATCTTGAATATTGTCTAAATTCTATTAATAGCTCTGTAATAACGATTTGACCGATTTTACAGAGAACTTTATCAACATTAAGTGACCTGAAAACGCATGAATTGATTCTCCATGAAGGAATATTAGTTAAGCTCTTATCAAGATATTGTTAGATAATTTTTGTCTGTAAACAAAGCTAAAAGTTTCTGGTAAAAAGACCATTTAGTTCAGATTGATAACAATTTTACACTGATTATTGTAGCGTAGTTGAAGAAAGACTTTTAGTGGATGTTCTAGCTTCTACTTTTTTTTTATATGGAGTGAAATTACATTGGAATTTTTAATATTTGAAATGAACTTGAGCAGAGACATTATATTAATCATCAACACAGGAATTCTGAATGGCGTTCCAGCTGACAGGTTATTTAAGTTGGAGGTTCAATTAAAGAACTTGAAATACATTCACATAATTTATAAAATATTATAAACCAATACATTTCATGTATTATTATTATTATCAAATGAATAATAAATATTATAAAATATGATAATGAAAAAAAAAATAGATGGAGATGTAATTACGAATTCTTGGATCTTATTGAACATAGAATTTCATTTTAATTTCTTTTACATATTTTTTTTATCACACTCTGTTCTTAGTTGATTTTAATTATTTTTTTTAGAACTTTTTATCATCGTAGAGATTATTTATATTAATGTTATAAAAAATTTTTATTGATTTTATTATTATTTACATTAAATTAACTTATCTAATAATAATAATTCCAATTTTAAATAAAATAATTATAATTACATCTCCAAGTAAAATAATTTACCATAAAAATAATAAAGAGCAAGAAAAAAAAAATGTCTGATGAACTAGATTTCATAGAATGATTCTGTTAATTACAAATAACAAATAATAGACTCCTAGATGATAGAAATACTAATTTATAGCCCAGGAAAATTAAATCCTCACAATAATTACCAACACGTCAATCGATAGCAAATAATTATTCCCACGAAAGTATCAAGCAAATAATTAACCATCAACATAAAAAATAATATCACAGAGCAAGGAAATGAATAATTTAAACTAAGATTTAAATCTTATAGGATCTTTTGAGATTAGAACACAACATAGATGCACATACATTACATAAGACTGATGTAAGTGAAAGTGTGTGACTTGACAAGAAGCAGAAGAAGACAAAACGATAAAATAGAGAAAGATAAAAAAAAACATGCATCCAACAAATATTCTATATACTCGAGTACCTACAATTGACCTTAATTCACTCAAGTGCAATTGCTTCTCAATCACATCCCATAAAACGGTAAAAGTCTTGAAATTACAACGTCAATTTCACGCGATATTAAAACTGCTCTACTGGCCTTCATAATCAAGCAACTGCTAAAGCAATATGCTGATCAATTTATATATTAATTTAAAATGAGGAATGAAAATATTTTCACTCAACTTATTGCTATTGTATTAATTGAAGATAGTAGATAATTTATCAATAAGCGAAAGTTACCTGAATTTTATCTTTAGATAAATTATTATCTTTGCTATTTTTTCAAACACAGACTGACCTAAATTTGCATTGAGATAACTTGGATATAGTATGAAAGTAAAAGCATTTACGTAATCTCATCTAATAACAAATAAAGAGTAAAATAAATATTAATAAAAAAAAAAAAATGAGTTGATGGTTTATTTTTTAGCAGAAGATAAAATAAGTATAAAAAAGTGAATAAAAATGATTTTAAAAGAGAGGTATATTGTTATTAATGCTGATAGAATTCGAGAATATGTTAAAAAATTCGTGATGTGAATAACACGTTCAAGTGTCAGTGCAATGTTTTAGAATAAAACGTGCGATATTTTTTAAATGTAAAATGCCATAATAAATTATAGAAAAATGTAGTTACTTTAAATCGTTGGAAGTATTTTAAAATCGACTACACGTTTTCTGCTGCTTGTTTATGACATTTTACACTGATTACAGTTTATGTGTTTCAGTTAAAAAGGTTTCACTTGTTTCTTTTTTTTTAATACGTTAATTTATGGTGGAGCTTGGATTATTCAATTTATTACGACACTTTTGTTTACAAACATGTACATTTTTATTAATTAATGGGTGTTTTTGTTCGTTTGAATTTATTTTTTATTTTTTTATTTTTTTTTCAATGTTATATTATTTATAATTCACACAAGTGAAGAGTTTAATGACGAGAAAAATGATTTAAGTAAAAATTACTGTTATATAATGGGCAAATTAGGATCCAATTGGACCTGAACATAAACTTGTTGAGATTTTTTTTTTATTTTAAAAATTATTAACTCGTAAATCAGTCACTTATGGGCATTTTGAACAAAATTGAAAAATTGTTCTGGTCAGAATAATATTTTAAAAATTGCTCAACTTCAAAAAAATACAAAAAAAATTGGCTTGGAAAATAAAAAATAAAAATGACTTCATAGAAATAATTTTCTATTTAATTCAAAAAAATTTGAATTGAATATTTGAAAGTAATTTTTATCTTGTGAAGTAATTTTTATCTAAAAAATATATTTCAGTCAAGTTATGAATGAGTTAACTGCATAAAAAAAAACTAATGTTTGAAACACGAAACTTTCATTCTATAAGTTTATTTTGAATGAATAAAAATAAATCTAGAGCACGTTATAAAGATAGACTTGAAATAATAATTTTTTTCAATTTTCGGAAGTCAAAGTTTCACCCTATTTCCTGCCATAATAAAAAAAAACACATTTTCTATAAATGTTTTCCAATAAAAAAAATTTTTAAATTATTTTTCTTCACTTAATGAGCGAGAAAGAATGAAATAACAATCATTATGATTTTTATTTAAATAAAATATAATAAACCTAATAAAATATAATAAAAAAGATAATTAAACCTTGCGTTATGTTCAAGTATTGTACTATTATGTCTTAAGACATAAATTATACAATTATCACTGAGTAATAAATTTTAATTTACTTAAGAAAATTTTCAAATATTACATAAGGAATGAAAAATGTTCAGTTGGTTAATCATAAGAAATATTTGCTCGTAATTTCCCATATATTATTAAAAATATAATAATTAACATAACTATACCACATAATACATTTTATGTGAATAAAGAAGAATAGAAATAACTACATTGTTTCCTGGTAATACATTTCGAAAGTTTTCAATAAATCAAAGACTGAAGGATTCTTATTATTTCTGTTATCATTTAAAATCTTTTAATCGTTACAAGCATTTTTAATTATTACCCACTGTTTGAAGATCTGACAAATAGTTTTCTTTTAAAGTTTTTTAAACAGATAGACTGAAAGATGAATGTTTTTGAATCATGATATGTCAACTTTGAATGCTAATGACTATTGGAAAGCTGACCTTTAAACCCTACACCGTTACCTCAATTAACGTACCCCTAACGGATGTCTATTTATAAAATATCTTTAAAGGGATTCTTTTCGTTTTAATTCTTATCGAATATGTCAGTGAAGAAGATTTACGTATACTGCTTTAATCAATGGAATGTTTTAGTGCTTTAATTATGATTTTATCAAACATTTTTTTCATATTATTTTCCTATCGACTAAAATTAATGAGTTTTAATTCTTTTTTCTCACTTAAATATTGAAAGAAATTTAATTTGTTTTTTTTTTGTCATCATTATTGCAAATATAGTAATAGTGATAGTTATTTAGAATGATAATTGTATATAATGAATGACTAGAACAAGTAGCAAAAAAATTTCAATTCATTGTAATTACTTTTCTCTTTGTTTTTCAACTTCCTGATTTATTTGTAAATAAATGGTTGAATTATTTCGTAATAGTGGTTAATTAATTAAGGTATTTTGATTGATTAATATAACAACAATTAACAAATAACAACAAACAACAATAATCAGCAATAATAAATTAATCATTAATTATTTATTTTTATATTTAATATTTAATGATATTTAATAATTTAAATATTTTTAAATAGTGAGAAATAATAAAAATAATATTAATCTTAATCGAAATACCTTGAAAATAAGATATTTTTATATGTCTCTAAAATAAAATATATTTCTCCCATATGAGGATTTAAATAAATAAATTAGTGAATTATTAATTAATGTAAAATATTGAGATAAAAAAAAAGCTTTTCTGATTCTCGACACATAAAATTAAACAATGAATAATATTTTAAAAAATTGATAGAACTCTGTTCCTAATTAATATCTGTGTAAAAACTGTGAAAACAAAAAATTTAGAAGAACAAAAAAGAAAAAATTTCTGACTCATTTAAAAAAGTAGAACTATAAAAAGAGACATAAAAATTTTTTTTCTACAAAGCATAAAAAGCATAGAAAGAAAAAAAAATTTTCTTTTTTACCTTTCGGAAGTGTGTCAACATTTCGTTGATTCCGGTGCATAGCAAAGTCACCCATGTCAAGAGTATGATGATGTTCCTGGGGTGATGGTGAAGCCTCCCTCACACAACCCATGAGACTTAAAGCTCCTCCAACTCCAATTATAGTACTTCCTCCGCTAGTACTAGTACCACTTCCGTTACCACTCGTTGTCGACATTTCTTTCGCCTGAAACACCCGGAAAAACCATGCTGCGATATAGGATTGTTTCACACTATGATACCATTCTAATAATATTGAATTTGTTGATGTCCATGATCTTTTCACATTCTCATCCATCTTCACCCAATTATTTCAACAAATAACTCACAGTCACTAATGAAAAAATAAAATATTTTTTTTTTTTTTTTTCGTTAATATTGATTTTTATTAACAGACGTTTTGCGTCGTTGGATGTGCAAAAAGTGAATGCGAAAAGATTTGAATCCTCATGGAAGCTGCAGCCAAAAAGGGGTTGGTCGATGGCTATCGATTACGCGACCCACCCTACAGTGACCATGACCTTGCTAACAGTACAGCTGACAGAGCGTGCGGGATCGTCATGTGGCGCACGCGGACAGGATGAGGGAGAGGGAGATGTTGATGCTGCAGCACCAGGAGGAGTGTCTACTACGTTTTATCATCATTGTTATTATTATCGTAACTATGAGGTGAGTGGAAAAGTCATGTCAAGAGTTGGTAACCATACCGGATGGATGAAAAAAAAAAATATATGTTAACATTTAGTTAATTATAAGTATAAGAAAAATGGGGAAAAAATTTTTTTTTGTGTTTAGTATATGTCTTTCAACATATACTGGTATTTTTATATAAATAATAGTATGTATAGTTGGATAGGGAAATATATATTTTGTGGAATAATTAGTTGTTTTTATTCAATTGGTATTTGTTGCAAAAAATTGTTAAAAAAAAAAGAATTGTTTGGGAGTGATCTGAATTTTTATAATACATTTGAAGATTTTTTTTTAATTATTTATGTAAAATATGAATTGAATTAGATGAATTTAATAAAAAAAATATAATTTTCAACTTCTTATTGTAATTATAATTTAAATTTATTATTATGATCTGTAGTTTAACATCTAGAAATGAATGTAAATAAATTTATTTTATTCTAACACGTGGGTCTAGTTTAATCAATTAGGATAAAGTACACACCTTGAGTGCAGTTGAAGATTAGAAGTATAAAATATCTCATTAAATTTTAATAAACATGAATAATTATAATAGTCAACATCTAATTGCATAATGAATTATCTTAGAAACAGAGTTAATGCTATTCTTAATAATTTAACTAATGACTCAGAATGGTGTGGAAGCTCGTTGAATAAATTTAACAAAAGTGTGAAAATTATGATAGATAAATATAATAAAATTCCATATCAATATAAAATGAAAGAAAATTTTTTTTCTAATTATTTTAAATATTTTAAGTAAATATTTATCCTATAAATATTTATTAATATTAATTAATTAATATCTTATTTGAATATTTAATATTTAAATATTGCTAAAAATATATTTTTATTTAAATTTTATTCAAAGAAATGACTAAATAATTACACTAGTTTAGCATTACTTCTAGAATAAAGGAAGCCAAGTTCATAAAACCTAAACCTCACCTTCTTAGCTAATTTAAATCATAACAATACATTTAAACATTCAAATTGCCCGTTACGCATCATTTTACATCATCAATGGCTTCTGCTGTCTATTAAATAAAACTCTTTGTAGATTTTATTCCACAAAGACCACCCAAATGATGATGCAATTAGAATTAGAATTTATATATCTCTAAGTCAGGTCAATAAAATACCTGTAAATAATTTCGTAATCTCTAAATTTTATTTTCATAAATAAATATAATGACTTAATCTAAAAGCCCTTGGATTTTAATCCCATGACTTCAAAATGGATATGTTCTAAATCATTTTATTTATATAATATTGTCAATATATTTATTTTATTAATCCTTTCATTTTTCTTCAATTAAATAAAATAAAGAAGCATTTTTTTGTTTAGAAATGGAAAGCCTTTGAAGGTTACTGATATGACGCATTGATATTGTCAATAAGTAAGCTCTTATCTAAAAGAACAGTTAGGTCATCATACGTAATAGATAGAGCATGTGTGAAAAAAAAAAATATCTTACACTCGTGACTAATAAATTAGGGAGTTAATTTAATCTAAAATTGACACTTTAATGTCGACTATAACTAAACGTAATGTAGTAATGTAGTAATTACCTCACTGAACGAATGACATTTTAATTGATTTTTATCTTCTTTTTAATCCTTTATTCGTTGGTTTTTTCAATGATCTGGAACAAAAAAAAAGAAAATTAATTAGATAATTAAGCGGAGTATCATTCAGATATTTTTCAATTTTAAAACAATAAATAAAGTTAATTACATAATTATCAAAAGATAATGAACTATTTTACGTAAGAATTAACCCATGAGATTTTTTTTTCAATCTTTCAAACCAACCTAATCTACTTCTTCACTCTAATGAGAAGCATTTTATGTCTAAAAAAAAAATAGTGAGTGTTTTTATAAATGTTTTTGAGTAACTAAAGAATATTATCATACTTAGATAAAATAAACTACTTAGGTAGTTACAGCAAACATGATACAAATGATTCATTAGAGAGGAATAAATTTTAGTCAATTATTTAATCACTTATCAAAATTGTTATCTTTAGACATTCACAATGTAGTCTAATAAAACTTGGTAGATATTTTTCTGAGTAATTTTTATGAATCATTAGTGATGATATTATTAATCAGAAGATGATGAAAATGCTAGACTAATTAGTAAGAAGTAATTTTAGATTTGAATTTAATGATTTAAAATCAACAAAAAGTACACTTTGGAGCTTGGAAAGGTAATGATTGATGCTAAGAGGAGACATCAATGTGATGGATGAGCCAATTTTAAAAAAAAAAAATATAGTTGATTACTTGAAGATGAGATAAAAAGCATATTAATAAGCTCATTTTAAAAGATAGTTTTTTTTTTTATTTGTAAATATTCAGAGAAAGAAAATATTTAACTTGTAGAAATAGTGTCTTAGTTTCTTAATAAATTTTTGTAACCATCTGTCACCAAAAAAGCTAATTACAAATCAAGTGCATAGATGCAACAGAATAGAATCACTTGGAACCACACCTAGCTATGTTCCAAGTGCTGAGCAGACTGCTAAGTAACTCAGTTACATTTAAATAAATTTTTTTTTGTCAACCACAGAATAATTGAGACCATTGTAGGAATATTTTGTTTTTTAGTACCATTGGATTCAATATGGAGTTTAATAATATTATTGAAAATGGATACAGTAAAAATGAATATAATTAAATTACTGTGAAATGTCAATTTTGCAAAAAAAAAGTTTAAAATTCCGCTTTCAAATAGAGCTTGACTTCTGAGCTTTACCAATAACATTACTTTCTGCTCCATTTGCTCCCTTTCATAAAAACTAAGTAATAATATTGAACAATGTTATGTACATGATTTTATTGAAGTTTTGAATAAAGTAAATAATTTCATTTATTTATTTAAAAGATTGTTTATGGAAATACAGACGTAATTAGTCGCATTTTTTTATTATTTCCTATGCACATGAATACGTTGACAGGCCCTGAGATTTAATTCTACATCGTGAAAATAAACTAATATACTCAATCTAAAAATTAATTAAGAAAAATAATGACAACTATTTAAAATCTATACCATATAATTTATTATATTGATCAAATTTTAAGATAATAGTTTTAATAGAGATTACATTGCTTGAAACTGCCCATAATTTTGTAACTATTACCCTTCAATGAATAATTTATTATTTAATAGCAGTTAATAAATCCTTGTTAAGAAGAGTTAAACCATCAGAATTAACGTGACTATAAATCTCTTCCAAGTTGAAAGTACTTAATAATTTTAAAATATCCTTCTTCAAAACTTATGCAAATTATTCAGAATATTTTTTTGCAAAAAATAAAATCATCCTTTTCATATCATTTAATCATAATCATGTCATTTTTCAAAATGAAAAGTTTCAAATGATAAACTACCAACAAATAATGTTCATTAAAACTCAATAAACTTTCATCAAGTGCATGTGACAAATAAATAACAAAGATCAACTTGTAATTAATTATTTAACTTAAGATATTATAATTATGATGCATCTTAATATTTTACATTAATTAATGCTTTGCAATTTTATTTATTCAGATTTAATTATTATTATTTATTTACTCTAAGATTTTTATTTAAATAATTTTAAATTATTTATTTTTATTTAAAGTATTTCGATTGTGATTAATATTTTTTAATTACATTAAAATTAAAAAATATTAATTTTATTTCAAACTAATCGAAATACCTCAGACAGAAAAAATTAAAAAAATTATATTGTTTTAATTTTTAATTATAAAACAGGATGAGGTAAATAATTATATATATAAGATGTTTGGACATTAATTGTGAAAATTGTTTAGATTACTAGACAGCATGAAGAATATTATCTATTCCACGAATTAACAAACATTTCCTCCTTTTTTCTAAAATCTAAGATATAAAAAGATCAACTTCTAATTTACTGTTTGAAAATTTCAAATTTATTAAGTTTTCAAGACACCACATTTACCTCATTAATTCCAATGTCAGAACTAATCTTAAATACATAAACATAAATTTAAGTGATTAGAAAAAATACCCAATCAAAAAAAAAACTTAACTTAATAATAATATATTATAAAGAGATAATAGCATTAAAATAAATGTTTTGATATAAACAAAAAAAAAAATATGCCAAGTCATATTAACTAATATCTAATAAACTCCAATACTATCACTTATGATTGTAAATAGATATTAATTTAACTAGATAATAAAATTAAAAATATATTGTACCATGGAGAACAATCATAACACAACGACCTTATTAATAATAAATGAATAATAAATCAGTTATTGATTGGTGTCATATTTCAATCAGCATTGAAGAATATTTCTGAATGAAATAATGGATGTCACTGGTATATTCAAGAAGCTCTAAAGCTTCAACTCTGAAGAATTAACTAGATAAAAAGATTACCCTACTATTATAGTCACGAGAGTGAATGGTATCTAAAAATGACAAGAGTTGAAGGTCTGTCAGAGACTTTGACTTGTTAGCCTTGTATCCAGCTGTTCAATCAAGTTACTTTTACATTCAACATCAATATGTAGCTTGAGGTAACAAAAATGATCTATGGAATGCCGAGAAAGAGAGAGACTTAAGTGCTATGGATTTAGATGTAAAAATATATCATATAGCCAATTGAATGAGAAAGCTTCTGTAAGTATAAATATAAAATGCTAAGATTAAAACCCATATATACTTTCTCTCGTCATTTTGGAATAATTTACTCTTTAGATTCCAGACACATACACTCTTCCCCCAACTTCCTTAGTTTAAAATTAAAATTTAGAGTGACGAAAAATTTTCCATGTCGGAAGTTCTCTTGTTATTTACACACATTTCAAGACTTACAATCAGTAAATCGACCCTTAAAGTTTATAAATAAACGCAACTATTAAATAGAAATGACGTATACAATACCGGAAGTTGATAAGCAGAGTACATGGTGGTGAAACAAACAATATGTTGAACATTTCTCGAGGGAACAAAAGATCCATGCAAGCTTATATGATGGAGAAAAGCATAAGTTTTAAAATGGTAAAGCTTTGAAATAATTGTATGAGTGGACGTATGATGAATTCACTTGCTTCCACTATTTTTATTTTCTCATGTTGTTCCATTTTCTCTTACCTTCTGCACTTGCAAATTATAAAGAAAATCCGAGGTTATTTTTTTTACAAACACTGGCAGGTAATGAGCCAGTGATTTCTGAAATGAAATAAAAAATGAGAGCCGTAATATAATTGTGTTTAAAAGAAACAAGAATAATTGTCCCAGTTTCATTTAATTCAAATCCAAAAGAAGATGGCAAACTTTTCATCTAGACCATTTTATTCCTTCCATATATCTTTACGTTTTAAGACATTTTAAAGCATATTGAGTGATTATTATCGTTGAAAATTGTTCTCAATAACAATAAAATATTGTTATAAATAACTTTATGTAATTGCAACTCATTATAAACAAAAAAAATTAAAAGATGACAAAATTTTTCAATTTAATTTTCAATAAAGATTGTATTTATCAAGCTGTTGACTTTGTTGAATTTAAAACATTTATTCTCAGTTAATGTTTTATCTGATTTATCAAGGTAATGATTTTCCCATCAAACGTCAAATTTTAATGCCATGTGATTGTGGTTGAATTCAAGTTGGTTGTCAGAGAAAATAAAAAGAAGAAAGTAATTTAAATCTTGAATGAAATTTAATATGTACGATTTTGCATTAAAAAATCATTTCCAGTGTGATTTTTCATTTTATTTACTGATTATTTATCTGAAGGAAATGAAAGCGAAAACAGAAGAGCAAAAGGATCCGGTTTGACTACATGTTATTATCACTAGCAGACGGATATGTTGTCAACTGTCAGGGATCTTTGACCGATTTCAATGATATTTTTTTTTATTCAATAAATATCTAAAACTAGTTTTCTGTTTATTGAATATCCTAATGATATTATGAGGAAGCACTTAGTTGATGTACTTTCATTGAAAAGCTTTCAAAAAAGTCTATTTCAATTTTTATGGTAAGTTTTTTTTTTAAACTTCTAGACATATTCAATCATTAGTTTATTCAACTTGTATTGATTCACTGAATTAATAACAATATTTGGATTAATTTATGAAAAATTAATCTAAATTAATTTTCAAGAACTGTCAAATAATTTAAAAGTTATCTTCAACATGTTGAAAAAAACTTTAATCTTCAAAGTGTCATCGAACAAAGTTTTGCCATTTAAGAACAATTTTTCGTTGACGATATTTCAAGAGTACTTATTCCAATGTTATCTTAAACTTTCTGTTATACATATTAAACCAACTGAACCAGTGGAATTTTTAATTAAATTCTTTGTCAATCAAATTCCCTGTGATAATCTCCATCAATTCCTACTCTATGTTAGTTCATAACATTGTTTTTATATAATTTAATGATCAATACAGTTAATCAAAAATGATAGCTAATTGTATTATAGCTTATGATGACTTTGAAATCACAAGAATCAGACCTGTTGTAGAATAAGCTAGCTGATATTGAATGAATAAAAAGCTCTAGTAATTCTTTATCAATCAAAAGTTAGCTCTTTGGGTACTCAGGTATAAACTCTTCTTGAAAGGCTAGAGAAAATAAGCTGAT